TCCCCCACGAATCCAAATATATGATTTGTTTTGAAATCGGACCTCAAATCGAGTTCCAAATCCCCAATTTTAGAAAAACCTAGGTTCTACCTAGAAAAACCTAGGTTCTACCCAAAACCCCCAATTTCACCCATGAAAATCATTGATTCTAAGTGGAAAACATGCTAAATTATGTTAATGACTGAAAGAATTAAGTAAAAATCGACTTACAAATGATTTGGAAGAAGTTTTGTTATTGAAAAATCGCCTATGGAGTTTGGGTTTTGAAAGAATGGTGAAAAATGATGAAAATTCGACTAAGTATAAAATTTGCTGGGCCTCAGATGTGGGAAATGCGAACAAGGGTTCGCAAAAGGTATGGGAATTGCGAAGGTACTGTTCGCATTTGCGAACTCTGCCAAGGATTAAGCACTTCGCAATTGCGAGCCCAAAGTCGCATTTGCGACCGGCTCAATTCCGCAATTGCGAACCCAATGGTCGCATTTGCGACCCCAGTGCACTATACCCTTTCCTCGCATTTGCGATGCCGGGCTCGCATTTGCGAGGCCTGCTTCGCAAATGCGAAAATTGTAGGACTGAGTGTACCAGCTTTTCTCTAAGTTCAAAATGCACTCCGGCACCTATCCAAAACTCACCCGAGCCCTCGGGGCTCCAAACCAATATGCACACAACCTCAAAAACATCCTACGGACTTATCCGTGCGATCAAATTGCCAAAATAACATCATAAACATCGAATCAAGCCTCAAACCTCATGATTTCTTCCAAATATTCATAAAACATCAATTTTCCATTTTAAGTCCGAAACACGTCAAACGACGTCCGTTTTCAACCAAACTTTACAGAAAGCGCTTAAACCATATATAAGACTTGTACCGGGCGCCGGAACCAAAATACGGGCCCGATACCACAGTCTTTTAATCAAATTTTATTTTCAATTTTCTTAATTATTTCCAGAAAATAATTTCACACAAAAATTCATTTCTCGGGCTTGGGACCTCGGAATTCGATTCCGGGCATACGCCCAAGTCCCATATTTTCCTACGGACCCTCCGGGACCGTCAAATCACGGGTCCGGGTCCGTTTACCCAAAATGTTGACCGAAGTCAAATTTATTCATTTTAATATCAAAATTTAGCATTTTTCTCACAGAATTTATATTTAAGCTTTCCGGCTATGCGCCCGGACTGCGCACGCAAATCAAGGCAACCCCAAATGAGGTTTTCAAGGCCTCAGAAGCACAGAATGAGTAAGGAAACAAGTGATGACCCTTTGGGTCGTCACAACCAAGAAAATTAGGTATATTGTTTAACTTACTCAAATAAAGTATACCATGATTCAATAGTAATCATGGTATACTGTGTGGTATACCAAGATCTTGAAAATACCATTTAATATAAACAAATAAAATATATCATAATTTAATAGTGATCATGGTATAGTATATATTATACTATATAGTATACCTAGAATATTAGAAATAACATTTAACTTACTCAAACAAAGTATATCATAATTCAACACTAATCATTGTATATTACGTAGTATGCCAAGAATCTAGAAATACCATTTTTAAAAATTCATATCTATTTTTACTAAAAGTAAGATGTGATTTTTTAATTAATTTTGTGTACAAATAAAAAATTAGTACATAAATTATTGTAACGAACAATTAAAAAAAATTCACTGTTTTTTTCTTGAGTACTAATCAAAAGCGAGAAAAATATTTTTTAACTTCTCGAATTTTACAAATAATAATAATATTTTATTCACGTTTAAAAGAAAAAAACTTGATATTCCAAAAATAATAAAGCAAAAAAAATTAAAAGTATGTCACTATAATTAAATCAAGTAACAAGAAAAAAGACGGGACGGGGGGGGGGGGGGGGCAAGTATAAAAAAGGAAAAACAAAAGGTAAAGAAAGTCAAAACAAAGACAAGAAGGCAATGTATAACTTAAGGAGTAGCTGCAGCTCGAATGAGTTAACATTTTTTCTATTTTTTTAGTGTGTGTTTCTTCCAACTATTCCTTATTTTTTCTTTTTTGTTTAGAGCACATGGCTAACATCATCTTTACACATTTCATACTTTTTCTTTCCTGCCTAATAGCTTTGGGTTAAGCACGGGTAAATAGGTAAAATGAGGGTAGCGACCGGAATTATTTTGCTCTGCTGGAGCATTTTTGTCCTTTTCCCTTCATAAAATGGGACTTTTCGTTGTTACGGAGTAATGGATTTAACAAATATAATACAGTAAATTTTAAATAAACTGTATGGGTCAAAATCTGACCACCAGATGGTTATCATTAAAGGGGACGATAAGAGGTCGACCCAGCCACGGTCGTGCCCACGAGGCGTAGTGACGACGAGTACCACGGTTCCTGCCAGGATCAAGCCGTTAGAAAGCTTACATCGCAAAACAAGTTTAATGTTTGGGCAAGTAATGAAGGACCCAATCATGAGAAAGCACGCCGGTCAAAGACCGTTGGATAAAAGGGAAAAATTTATTAGTATATATATAGGGAGGCAGGAGACCATTACTGGGCTCTCTCGGGATCCAGATCTGGCTACAACATTTATAGTCATCGTTACGGAACCAGCAAGGGGGAATCTCTTAGTTATCAACAGTTTTCTCTCTTTTCCTTCTGTGCTCTTACGATTATGATGCAAAACCGTCATAGATGTAAGTTTATCATTTCCATTTGATGTATGATAATCATCTTAAGCAATATTAAATCAGCTTGTTCTTCTCCGATTTTTGTACTCAATATGTTTTGATCTAGAGTTAATTATGTTTGACTAAGATTTACCTTCTATCTCTCTATAGTAAAGGGTTTAACAATTTTTTGGTTAAACATAAACAATCAAAACAAATATTTTTTTGAAATAACAATACCATACAATGGCCAACAACCATCCAAACAAGCTTAAATGAATTAATAATTTGCATCTCATTTATTTTTCGCAACCCCACCCCGTAACATCACTACGCAAAGTTTTTCCTGATCTGCCCCTTAAACCAAAATGAGAACTCTAATGACGTTTGGTTTAAAAGGTTTTGAAATTACTTTCCAATTTGTACATAAACAAAAGTTAATTTTTTCCCCTTTGTTGGGGGTGGTGGCGGGGAGAAGAAAGAAAAGAAGATTCATTTAAAGGTGTGGCCTAGTGGTGAACGAAGTAAGTTAAGAATCTTGAGGTCCATGTTCAAATTTCAATGGAAGAAAAAGGTGATTTCTTTCTATATATATTCAAGGATTAGTAGATAAATTTACATGATATCTGTACTAGTAAGAGATAACAGATATTCGACGAAATTAGTAACACAAGATGACCCGAAACCAATATTGCAAAAAAAAAAAATAAAAAAAATTCAACCATTATATTATATATATTATAGATATTTGTATTAAGCCATACAAGGAAAATATTGGAATATTGTGTGGCGCAATTTAGGCGCCTGCCAACATGGATAGTGGGGTTAGTAGAGAGGCAACAGCATGGGGTTTAAATTCCAATTGCTCAGAAAATATAAATTTATAATATATAGTATTATTATATGATTTGTGTGATACTGATAAGCTAAGCAGTACTAAAGTTACATGTGCTGGATTTGAATTCTTTATAAGCTGCTACCTGTTTAATTAAATGATAATTCATGTTGCAAATTTTGAGTTGAGTGAGTGACAAAACTGCCAATATTCAATAGTTTGCATCACTTTACAGTACTTAAAACATCATATAATACAGCTCATTATTTCTTTAATTAGACTAATGTTTTTCTTTTTTGTAATTCTTTAAAAGTTATAGAGAAGCTTGGAATACTTTTCAGTACGAGCCTATAGAAATGGCTTCAATTTAGAAGTTGGAATGTTAAATGGTAGTCAAGGAGATTGTTAGCAAATTATTGCTCCCCTCCTAAAATGAGTGACAGATTATCTTTTGTATTTAGAAATAATAAAAACATTTTTAAAAAACCATAATAAGGAAACAGTTTGTCTCTGATAGTAATAGTACCGTCTAGAATGATATACAATTAATGGTGCATGCGAACCTATGGTCTTTGTCAAATTACGTATTTTATATTAAAAAAAATTCTAAAAATTAATCTAATATTATCCGTTGGTTCTCATACTCCAAAAAGACTAAATAGTGCACTTAATTAAAAGCTGAGTTATTTACCTAAACGATCCGAGACCAATTATTATTTAATATTTTTTTAATGGTTCACAAGTCCTAAATCTGCTATTAAGAATATTGAGATATTGATAATATGGAGTTGGCCACCAATACCATCTATTGTCCAATAAAAAGACAAAAGGAAGGAAGTTGGCAAGACCAGCCTACTCTGGCCACCTTCTTTGTATTAGCAGAAGGAGGGTGCTTGGTGAATACAAAGGAATGTGATGTACTAAAAATAGAATCATCTCAATATTTGTTCTTGATTTTAATGGAACTCTAGTGTGGAACTAGTGAAGTTTAGGTGTCAAAATACTTCAAGAAAAATATTTGAATTTATTCATCTACTTTCGAGCTTTGGAGCCTCAAGAAAGGAGAGCCTTGGAGCAATGATAAAGTAGTCTTCAGGTGACCTGCAGGTCACAGGTTCGAACTGTGAAAGCAGCCACTAATTTTTGTATTAGGATAGGTTATCTATATTATACCCCTTGGGATGCGGCCTTTCATCGGCTGCATGAATGCGAAATTCCTTGTGCGTCGGGCTGTCATTTACTCATCTACTTTTGAGTTATGATTTAAAATTACCCTCTATTTTATATTTCAAGTTGAATCTCTATTAGGATTAGAGACAAATACGAGACGATTTACTGATAGCCATACGTACGTAATAAAATACTATTCAAATTGCAAGAAAATTAGGGAGTGGGGCAAGTTCCTGGTAGTCACATGAAAGACTGTGAGACCAAAACCAAAGATTGTTCAAACTTCAAACTTCAACTATCCCCCACCATTTTATTTTTTTTGGTCTAAAACCCACCATATATTATTATCATTGTATGCCTGCCTCTTCAAATATTCTATTTATCACATCTCCAAAAAAATAAAGCAAATCCCAACGTGCTCCAAAGCTTCTTTTATTCCTTCATCTTTCTTTCTTTCTCCATTTTCCAAATTCTCACTTCTCTATAGTTCTATTCACTACATGAAAAATGAGATTTTTGACACCAAAACTCTACACCATCTTCATCTTTTTCTATTGTCTTCAATCCATATCTCAAGCCAAGTTAAAAAAATTCGAAAAACAATATGGAGATCCCTTTGACCATAAATATATTCCAATCTTGGAAATTAAAGAACCAGCACAAATCAGCAACCAAGCTCTACAAGTAACTCCAGATACAGCCAACTCTCATTACAACATGTTCAATAATTCAGGTAGAATTTTCTTGAAGCAATCCTTCAAATTATGGGAAGGTGACACGTCATCAAAAGATAGTAGAGTTGCATCTTTCAACTCTTCATTTCTTGTAAATATTTACAGGCTAGATAATAAAACTGCAGCTGAAGGTTTAACTTTCTTGATTTCTCCTGATTTGGAATTGCCACCAAATAGTCAAGGGCAATATTTAGGGTTGACAAATGCAAGTACTGATGGGAAATTTATTAATAGAGTTCTCGCGGTTGAGCTCGATACTTTTAAGCAAGATTTTGACATTGATGATAACCATATTGGGATTGATATTCATAGTATTAAATCTATAAGGTCTGAATCTTTAACCAAACATGGAATTGAACTTTCTCCAATTGGTGCAAGATTTTACAATATTTGGGTACAATATGATGGTATCAAGAAAGTTCTTGATGTGTACATAGTAGAGCAAACTGAGAAAAATGGCGCAACCCCACCTAGGCCAAAGGATCCAATATTATCACATGATCTTGATATAAGAGATGTTGTGAATCAAGAATCATACTTTGGATTTTCTGCTTCAACAGGGAATTTTAATCAATTGAATTGTGTGTTGAGGTGGAATTTGACAGTTGAGTATTTTCAAGAAAAAAATCAATCTTTAACTATTGGTTTAGGTGTTGGGGTTCCATTATTTATTCTATCCTTGATTTTGGTAGCATATTTAGGGTACTATTACTACAAGAAAAGGGTTACTAGGTCAGAGTCAAATATACTTGGTGCACTTAAGAGTTTGCCTGGAATGCCTAGAGATTTTGATTTTAAGGAATTGAAGAAATCTACTAATAATTTTGATGAAAAGAATAAGCTTGGTGAAGGTGGATTTGGAGTTGTATACAAAGGGAATTTAGTTGGTGAAAATTTAGAAATTGCAGTGAAATGGTTTTCAAGGGAAAGTATGAAAGGTCAAGATGATTTCTTGGCTGAGCTTACTATTATCAACCGTCTGCGGCATAAACATCTTGTCAAATTGCTTGGTAAGTAATTTTTACTGTATTTTTACTTTTAGTATTAAGGAAAACTTGGCATAACGCTAAGAGTTGTTGTCGTGTGATTAGAAAATCACGAGTTTAAGCCTTTAAAACATGAGTTGAATTTTGTTAACATGGCGCATGAATTTCATCTCTTCTTAAAAATAAGTCTTTTCTATATGATAGTGGAAATTTCTTTTAGAGCTTTCATGACAGCGTCAAAAATGGTGTGCGCATTGCTTTTGCAACAGTTTGAAAGTGACAATATTTTTTACAACTAAGTAGGCATTTGGACATAAAAATTATATTTTTGAAAAAAAGTAGTAGTATTTGAAGTTAAGTTGAGAAATGGTATTTGAAATCTGAAATTATATTTGGACATGCATTTCACTTGAAAAAATGTTGCAGTTTTGTGAGTGGAGAAAAAAAAAATTCTGAAGCAAAATTTTCAAAAACTTGCATAATCTCATGAACACATTTTAAAAAAAAAAAAATTGAAAAAGAAAAAAAAAATTATAGACAAACGGGGCCTAAATCTTGCTTCTAATATTTCTTAAGGATTTGGTTCTTGTCATTTGTAAGCATATTTATATTATAAATTCTTGTCGCGTAAAATTCTAGATATATATGTACATATATGTTGAAATTATCCATATATTTTACCTGAAAACCTTAAGGTTTGTTTGGTACGAGGGATAAGGGATAATTAATCCTGAGATTAAATTTGAGATGAGTTTATACCACGTTTGTTGGAATAAAGTTGCGATATAAATAATTCCGGGATTAGTTATCTAGAGATTGTAATGTTATTTTTGTCCCTATGGGAGGGTGGGATAACTAAACCCGGAATAATTAATATTGGGATAACTTATTTCAACAACTAATAAATGACTCATGTGTGATGGGCACTGGTTGAACAGTTCTCTCATATGCCTCGCTACCTTTAAATTTTGGGTCCGCCTCTGATAACTTTGATGTCAAAAGTTGGTCAATAGTGGATAGGATTGAGGAGTAATCGAGAGAACAATTATAAAAGCAAAAATATTGAATTATCTTTCTTTCCAGATGAAATAAAGAATCCTATAGAAAAAGACTTCATTGATGTGATTGGAGAAAATGGTCCAAATCTTTAAAACGAATAAAATATATCTAAAGCCAAACCTTTGTAGGGTATGATCACTCGAATGCAAGGGCTACTTTTGCTAGCCTAACTAATAATTAATACCCTCTTGGAGAAAAAAATCCAAAATTTAATAATAACAGACATGTTAAATTCTTAGCTGGAAAATAGAAGAGCACTGATTCATTCCCTTTTGTATCTTTTTTTGCTTTTTCTACCAGCAATATCAAACATAGCCCCACATCAATTTCTCTACTAGTAGTTCTCATATTCGAGCTTTGAAAATGAAGTAATTCCTAATAGGAAATGCTTTCCTCATAAATTAGTCATATACATAGCAAATTTGAATTAGTCGGGCTAGTAGTTTTCAAATATTATTTGGTTAAGCCCCAAATAAATAAATAAATAAAAACATTGAACCCACAATCTTTTGTTCTTATGTGAAAGCTTATAAATGTGCCCAAGATTAGTCTTTAATCATGGTTTTGAACAGGACTTTTCGTTTGTGGAATCCTTAAATACTAGCTTGTCCTCATTTTTGTTTTAAAGTCTGCTTTTTTTTTTTCCTTGGATATCCTGTGTTTATAAGGACTTTATTTAAATTGTGTACATATAAGCAATGAGGTTCAATCTTTTTGCTGACCATTAATATATATGATTATTAGCACATAGTCAAAGGGGTATCCAGTGTAGAGACTACGGGTTTATCTGTACCAATAGTTTTCGTTCATACTATATATGTATTTTTGCCCAAAAAATTTATTAATTATGTGTAAATAATAAATTCAGAACGCATTAAATTAAATGAGATATGATAGAATAACGAATCTGAACCCATAAAATTCAACTCCTGAATATATCTTTGACCATAGTCAAAGCAATTTTTTGTGAAGAATCAAGGAAGCTTCGTTGGAAAATCAACCTTCATTCAAATGTCAATTATTGTGACAAATTTGGTATTATCTAAAAGTTAATATCAACATCATTGCCACTGAATAGGACATTTGCTTCAAAATGCAATCAACTGGTAAAGTTGTTGTCATGTAATCAGGAGGTCACGGGTTCCAGCCGTGAAAACAACCTCTTGCAGAAATGCAGGGTAATAGCCTGTTTGGCCAAGCTTTTGGAAGGAAAAAAAGTGCTTTTGAGGAGAAGCAAAAGCAGTTTTGGAGAAGCAGAAAAAAGTAGCTTCTCTCCAAAAGCACTTTTCTAGAAGCACTTTTGAGAAAAATACACTTAGAAGCAGTTTTCAAAAGCTTGGCCTGTTGGCCAAACACTAATTACTGCTCAAAAGTGCTTTTCAAATTAATTAGCCAAACACAAACTACTTCTCACCAAAAGCACTTTTTTAAAAAGTACTTTTGAGAAAAGCACTTCTCAAAATAAGCTGAATTTAGAAGCTTGGCCAAACGGGCTATAAGGCTGCATACGATAGACCCTTGTGGTCCGGCCCTTCCCGGATCTCGCGCATAACGGGAGCTTAGTGCATCGGACTGCCCTTTTTGCCTTTCTAGCAGACTTTTATTGACTTTCAAGCAAATTACTGTGCAACTTCAAGCTGATGAGAACAGCAATACAGACATAAGCATCTTACAATCATATATTATTGTAACAGGATGGAGCCACAAGCATGGGAAGCTACTACTTGTATATGAGTACATGCCAAATGGTAGCCTTGACAAACACCTTTTCTCAGGTCCAGATAAAAAGCCACTCAGCTGGCAAGTCAGGTACAAGATTGTTTCAGGCGTCGCCTCAGCCTTGCACTATCTGCACGACGAGTTTGAGCAGAAAGTGGTCCATCGTGATCTTAAGGCGAACAATATCATGCTTGACTCCAACTTCAATGCACGCCTCGGTGATTTTGGCCTGGCACGAGCACTTGACCACGAGAAGACCTCGTATGCTGAGGCCGAGGGTGTGCTTGGCACGATGGGGTACATTGCACCAGAGTGTTTTCACACTGGAAAAGCCACTCAACATTCTGATGTATATGCATTTGGAGCAGTGTTATTGGAACTAGTATGTGGCCAAAGGCCTGGAACTAAAGTTAATGGCTTTCAACTATTTGCCGATTGGGTTTGGTACTTGCATCGTGATGGCAGAATCCTCGAAGCTGTTGACACGAGTCTCGGGGATGATTATATAGCTGAAGAAGCAAAGAGATTGTTACTTCTTGCTTTGGCATGCTCTCATCCAATTGCTAGTGAAAGGCCTAAAACACAGACGATAGTTCAAATTATATCAGGGTCAGTACCAGCACCAGAAGTTCCACCATTTAAACCAGCATTTGTGTGGCCTTCTATGGTGCCAATTGACATTGATATAGACTCGAGTCTTGTCGATACGATATCCATTACAACTCCTCAGTTCAGTTCAGGAAACAACAGCGTTGAGTATCAAAGCAAGTAGAACTAGCACCATAGCTAGGCACTTTTATGGTGTAGTTATACTTTTTATAAACAACTATTACCAACAGAAAAAAACTGGTTTTGCTTTCCTGTAATTATGTTCTCTGGTGAGGCTGACAAAGATTTTCTCCTGTTTTTTCCTTCTTGTTTTTTTTTTTTTGCTTGCTTTTGTTTTCTGTAATGACAAGAACAGAAGCAACTCATGTACATTTCTTTAATCCAGTCCTTACGTTAACTTCCATCCTATATTTTGTTCCCTATTTATGATCTTACTGATTTCAAGTGAACCAACATAAGTTTGTCAAGAGAGATTGGACCATATACATGTCCCCATATATTCCACATATGCAAATTAAGATCAAGCAGAGGGTATATTGAGGATATCTTACTACTGAAAAAGGCTTTCACAGGCAGGGCAAAAGCTAGAGTATCGGCCACAAATTCAACCGAACACAGTAGCATTGATTCAAACTAAGCCTGTTAATCGGGCCGAGCTGCCCGTTCACAGCCCCGGTTCGACCCGGTAGCCCGGGTCAGCCCGGTACGGTAGGGGGGTGGGGACGGGATGGGGATGGTTGGGCAGGGGTCCGGGCTAGAACGAGCAATTTTTGGTAACCGGTGCATCAGAACCCGGTTAGCCCGGTTATCCGTTACGGGATTTTTACCGGGCTACAACCCGGTTACCGTTACAAAATTCTTTTTTTGTTAAATTCTGGACCCTTGCCGACGGTCAAATTCAAAAATGACCATTGGGCAACGGCTATTTTTTGCAGAAATGGCCATTTCGGCCTACCCCATAAGAAAATACGACCCCCCCCCCCCCACACACACACACCTAATAATTGATAAATTACAATTTTAACCTTTTAAAAACTATAAATAGTCCCCCTTCTTCTTCATTTTTTTCTCACAATTTACTCTCTTAATACTCTAATTCTCTCTTGATAATATTGATTATTGCTCTTAAAATTCTCAATTACTTATTATTTCAAGTTTCATCAAATATTTACTTTAGTAGTTTAGTCACTACAAAACTATAATTATCAAATATCAAGTATTCAAGTGAAGTGTGGTATCAAGTATCAGTCTATCAATTGAAGTTTGATATCAATAATTTAGTGCGGCACCCGGAATCCCGGCACACTCGTTCCATCTCTTTCTCTTCTTTGGTGTATTTTTATTTTATTATTTGAAATTATTAATTTAATTTCTTAATCTAATTTGCATAATGGATATATTTAGAGCAGCCAAAAAACCATGCACTAGTAGGGGTTGTAGTAGTAAGAAAACTTCTAAAAAATCAAGAGGTGGTGCTGGTTCTTCTAGTAGCTTTACACATATTTCTGAAAGTTCACCTGAAAATTTAAATGTAGATTATGAGCGACTTCAAGAAAATTATGGTATAGATGATGATTTAGATGATAATTTAGATGATATTCAATCACCTGATAATCTTGTAACACCATAAGTTACACCTGGCAATGCTAGTCAAACTCAAAATACTAGGGGTGGAGGTCACGGTAATACAGGTAGGCCTCCCCTCCCTATTAAGAGGAATCGGAGATTAAGAAGTAAGTGTTGGAATTTTCTTCGAAAGACTAGTAGAAGATAAAAATTATATAAGATGTCTAATTTGTAAGGAAGTTTATAAACATGAGACCGGTAAGGGAAGGGGAACGGGGCAACTTCGTAGGCACATGGTAGATAACCACCCTATTGCATGGGGTGCTGATGAAGAAGGTGGTCAATAAAAACTTAACCTGGGTGCTGGCGGTTTAATGGGTAAATACAATGCAGTGAATGATAGGGAAGAATTAGCTAAAATGATTGTTTTAGGTTGTTTACCTTTTAGTTTTGCTGCTTCACCATATCTTGTTACTTATATTCAAAGAATTTATAACTCTTTGTTTAAAGGTATTCCTAGAAGTACTTGTAGAGCTGATATCTTTAGGCTTTTTGGACAATATCAGACATATATCCGTTATTTATTCGCTAGTCTTTCTTGTAGAGTTTCTCTTACTTCTGATATTGATCGTGATGTAAATGGAAATGATTATTTGACTGTTACATGCCATTGGATAGATGATAATTTTGTATGCAAAAACTTATTATTGCTTTTAAATATGATGGAGATCAAAGTCATACTGGTGCATTTATAAGAATACTATCCATGAAGTTGCTATATTTTATAATCTTGCAGAAAAAGTTTTGTGTATGTCATTTGATAATGATTCTAACAACAATGCTGCTATTACAATATTAAAATTGCATCTACACCCATCACTTCCTGAAATATTTTATGACAGATGTGCATGTCATATTTATAATTTAATTGTGAAGAGTGGTCTTGAATTATTTAGAGATGAGATCAATTTAGTTAGAAGAGTTGTTGGTGTAATTCAAGCAAATAACAGAAGTGCTAGATTAAATGCATTTAAGGAAAAATGTGTACAATATGGACTAAAACCAAGACTCATTCCTGAGAAATAGTTACTAGGTGGGATTATACTTTTTTATTCTTAAGATGTTATAAATATAAAATGCCTATAATTGAAGTTGCTAATTCTCATTGTATCGATCCTAGCCGTTTGTTAACATCTAGAACTTGGGATGTCATTGAAGATGTTGTAAAATTTTTACAAAAATTCTATGTGGCTACACTTGAGTTTTCTGGAGCTTATTATCCTACTATTGCAAATGGTTTAGTTCATATCGCCGAAATTTCTCTTTTACTCCATAATTTGAAGAAGAAATAAGGATATACTTCTGTTGTTGAATATATGCAAGATAAATTTAAAAAATATTTCTACTCAATTCCCCCTATTTACCTAATTGGTGCTATTTTAAACCCTTCTATCAAAATGGCCACTTGTCGCCAATTAATCATTGATTTATATGTTTATATGGATATTGGACCCACTGAAACTCTTATAAGAATAATAATAGTATCAATACTAACACTAATACTAATATTAATATTAATACTAATGATAGTAGTAGTAACAATTATAATAAATATAATAGTAAAAATAGGGTATTCAGTTTATTAGTAACTTAAAAAAGCAAGAAAATTTATTAAAATAAAGGAGGGAAAAAATTGGATGTCAAAACTGGGTTGGTGGAGGAGCAATCGGTTTTCCTGTTCTTTTGGCCATGGCTCGAGACGTGCTAAATGTGCCGATTTCAACAGTCGCATCAGAGAGCTCATTTAGCCAAGCAAGGCAGCAACTAGGAGATACCCGTCATTCATTGGGCAGCAATGCTTTGGAAATTCTAGTGTGCTTCAGAGATTGGATAAGATCAGAACGGCGAAATCAAGGCGTGAAGAGGTAGATGAAGCGGAAGACCAAGAAATTGGAGATATAATGGTTTATGGTTCCGATTCAAGCAATGCCGAAAACTAAGAACCTCATGTTGACATGGATGAACTTACAAAAATGATGCAAAGCATGTGATGTACTCTTTCTGTTTTTTTATAATTGTTGTAAACTTTTAATTTGCAAGTTCAAAAATAAAAAATCAAAATACAACTTGCAAATTAATTTGAAGTATTATTTATTATTCAATGAAAATATAAAACAAAAGCCTTCGGAGTTTAATCCTTACATATTGCCTATTGGTCTTATTAAATAATTTTTTGTAGCCACTTACTTTCAAATTTCAATCTTAAAATTTTAAAACTCAAATTTCAAATTTAAAACTTCAAAGTTTAAAGTTTAATTCTAAGCCTTAAAAGTTTGCAAACACTTAAGTATCAACAACATTGAATAGCCCGGCCCGTTCCGGACCCGTTAAGCCCAAACCCGGGCAGGCCCACCCAAACCCGAAAAATCCCAGCCGCTAACAGCCCGGAACCCCAGCCCACTAATCATCCCGGAACGATAATCGGACGGGCTATTTTTTTCCGTGTCCAGCCCGCTCGTTTAACACCTTTAATTCAAGAGAAATTTTCATAAAGCACTATCTTTTAGTGGTAATTAGCTATCTATAGACACCATTTGCTATATTACGGATTGTAGATACGTTTTCTGTTGTTATAAGATGTATTAGATGTATTTAAGCTACTGTATTCATGAATACAGTAGCAAAAATAGGCGTGAATCGGGGAAGTCCAGCTACTAATCAGTTGTTGTATTCGAGTGTATTCGACTGTATTCATGGCGTGAAACATGGGATTACAGCTGGACAGATTATTGTATTCGACTGTATTCACGGCGTGAAACAGGGGATTACATTGTTTTTAAACGGAAAGTGAATCAATTAACATAATAGACTCCTAATATAACTCGACAAACTCAATTATAACACACAAATTTTGTATTTCCAGTTATAAAAAAGATTCTCAACCAAAAAATACCCAAAAACATAGCAATCTTTAGAGAAATTATATAATACATCTGAATACACAAATTATATTAATTAAAAAAAATATATGAATACATTCATGGCATATAGCGAGGCAGTGAATACAATGAAATACATAGAATACAGCGGGATACATTGAAATACAATAAAAAAAAAAGACAGTGAATACAATGAAATACATGGAATACAGCGAGATACATTGAATTACAATGAAAAAAAAGACAATGAATACAATAAAATACATGAAAATACAGCGTGATACGTTGAAAATACATTGAAATATATTAACAGAAAATCAAGTTGCTCGGCCCCAAACTCCGTCGTCTTTGTTCAAAAGCAAACCCTAATTTCCAGCGAATCCGTCGTCGAGCAAAAACCCTGAATACTGTCTCTTGACACTCTGACCGACCCGTGTTCCTTGAAAGGTTTTAGGGTTTTAGGAAATTTAATTCAATTCTGGATTTAATCAAATGATAAGCATCTGCTTATTTGCTCAGAAGATTCGGTTTATCACCTCAATCACTTACTGCTGCTCTAATCCAAAGAAATTCCCCAATTTTAATATCTTGAAGATGACGGAAGTTGAGAAAGGTTCGTGGGTTTGTTGTGTTGTGCGCGCCGATCGGAGGCTTCATCTCCTTTAGATTCCATTTGGGTTGCACAAAATTGAGGGGAAAAGTTAGAGAATTCTTCGTGGTATACCAGGCAAAATCACCGTTTGTGACTAATGGTAGGTGATGTGGGTGAGAGGAATTTTGATATTGAGCATCGTGTTTTCAGGGAATGGGGGAAGAGAATGGCATGTATCAAAGTAGAGAGAGAAAGAAAATAGTGTAACTGAATAGCGTATTTAGTGGCTTAGGGGTAGGAGGTAACCAAAA